CAGAAAATAGCTCCACCCCCTTACCTATAAGCTAAATAAATTGTTTTATCGGTGTACACGCAGAGCCTGATTCGAGTCGACCACACAGTTTGCGAATAATTCCGATGTCTGTGCCGCGACAGGGGGAGAAACAACAGAATGATCGTCTTCAACTCATAATAGCTGATCTTGTTAGGGATGAAGAAAACAAGTACTGTGCAGATTGCGATGCCAAAGGTTAGCTGCCCTCTCAATCCTTTACAAATCAGGGCCACGTTGGGCGTCCTGGAACTTGGGAGTTCTCCTCTGTATTCGGTGTGCGGGAATCCACCGTGGTTTGGGCGTTCATATATCAAAAGTTAAGTCACTTAATCTTGACTCATGGGAACCCCAACAAGTTGCTGTGAGTTGTTTGTTGATCAGATTATCGTGTTCCTTGTAGATGCTTAAAGCAGTTGGTAATCGACGTGCCCGAGAGCTCTATGAGGCGAATCTCCCGGAGTTATTCCGTCGGCCCCAAACAGATTCAGCGCTTGAACAATTTATCCGAGCCAAATATGAACAGAAAAGATATGTTTCTTCAGACTTTGTTGCCCCACAACCTGATATGGAATCTGTGAAAAAGGTAAGAAAAAGTGAGCGATTACTTGCTGTCATTGCCAAATTTTCAAATAAGTTATCCGTAATAATCTCACCACACGAAGACTCCGCCCCCCTCCCGGAAACATTTTGGTTGGTTTACTAATGCATTCAATTATGACTATGTAGGATCTTCTACGGTTGGAGCAACAAAGCAAACGAAAAGCAGTTAGCGTCAGGTCCATAAACTTACCTCTTCAGAACAGTGATTCATCAAGGATCCAGGGTCGGACACTTAAGGTGCGCTTGTAACTTTTATATATCTTTGACTTGTATAATGCTTTTATTATACTAGCTTCGGCTCTACACTGAGGCTTTAAAGATCAAAAGACAAACGCCTCTTGTGCTGATTCTAATGTGACCTTGTGTTAAGTGGATATCACATTTGTCACATTATTCACCGCCTTTTCATAAAAATAATAGTCGGTTCCGAAAAGTACTGGCGACAATACTGGTGGTGGAACGGCTGATATCTTGGGTCTTTCGCCGCCTGTGACTAACAAGAACGATGATAGTGGGTCTTCTGCTTCAAAGGCTCCGGCAGAGTATGCAGATACTCCCCAACAGGCTAACCGGGTGTCAGAACTGGAGGTGAGTTGTAAACCTTACAGCACGGAAAATAATGTTTACGTTCTAATGGTCGATTACTGAATTGGGTTAACAGTAACAGCATCCCTCTTCCAAAGGTCTTTTGTCTATGTATAGCTGATGTAAAGTATTTGATTATTGATCCAGTTGAAATAGCACAACGAGTTTTGATGCTTGAGTAATGAGGGACTAATACGCACATCGTTCGGGGCACTGTAAAATCTATCACCAAGTGCAGTGTTGTTTTCAGGGAATTCGGACATCGTGTCCCATTTTAATGCTGTTTCTGACCCGTGGCACAAGTTCGTGTCACGTCATTTTATCAAGAGGTGCCTTGGTCTGAATTTGTTGCGCTTGCATGTTAACAGATCTTGAATAGTCGTGCCGTGTGAATGCCCCAATCGCTTTTTGGTTTTTCGTTAGCTTTCTGATTTTAAGCCGAATAAGTGATATCTAGTTTTGCTGAATGCTGCTGTTTACGCGCGTTGGTAATCTATAGGTCCCCACATCTTGAACTCTATTGATTTTATTCCTTGTCAACTTCACTTTTACAAGAACATCAAAGTTGTTTTCGGCTTCAGTGTGTTCTAACAAACGTTTCTTCAGACTATTTAGTAAAATATTTGCCATTCTCAAGTGCGGCTTACCGGCGCGTACGTCTTCGGTAATGTACTTAGTTTGGTTTTCGCATTCATGAGATTTTGTTTCGTGACACTGGTTTCAGGTTTGAGTCGGCGAACCACTTTTTCTACAAAGTTTCCCGATTCAAGTGTGTTTGGCTAACCACGATAACTCTTTAATTACATAAGATATTGCTTTTGTGGTCACCGCTACAATTACAAACAGCAGGTTAGTTGATTTCTTTATCGATTGTATTGGTGTTTTAAAGTCTTCCGTTCCCCCAGGCCGTCACATCGTGCAATGTTCATTTCTGCCTGACACTATCTTGGAGAAGGATTCGCCGGGGTACGCATCGAGTGCGTATTGTTGGTTCAACCACACATGGATGAAGTTTTCACTGTTATCCACGTCGTTCCGAGATTGCTTGATCTATTGTGTGGGAAATGACCCCAAACGATGCACATCTACCGGTCATTTTTTACGTAGGAGTGTCTTATAGTTCTGCAGTTCATCCTATAAGTGCGAACTATTTAAACCTGGGCCTACATTACTTATCTACTTAGTTTATGCTATTGACTCAAAAGGGACTGTATTTGATAATTTTTAGTCGAAAATTGTTTTTGCGCCGCATATGTGAAGCTTTCTACGGGTTTTGAACGAATGCAGGTCTCACTACCTGCACTTTACGGACTGTGAAAGCAATCTTTGCCAGATTTTAAAAGCAATTGTTGCTCCCTCTATTCGACCAGTTTTATATATGAACTGAACGGGTTTGCTTTATTTATTTATTTACTGTTGATGAAGCACTTTAGCTGGTTTAGTCTTGCCAAACTTTGAATTATTGTGCGCGGAGAGTTTCACGAAGTTGCTCAATGCATTTCGACTCAACCATTGTCCAAGCAACACCACCTGTCAAACTGAAATGCTGACACTGGGGTTTAGTTTAATGCTTTACATACTCGCATATGCTGTTGAAGGTCCAGGTACTTTTCCAATTATTTTAAAACGCCTACTATCTTGTGCCAAAATTTGCTGCTGACTCTAAGGGGCAGGAAATTTCGAAAATGCGTTGTAAAAATGAACGGTTAATTTTCCTCTGCTACTATTAATGCTGATTAATGGCTTTTTCAGTCCGGCACTTTTAGCGCGGATCTCGTTGGAATCGACTTCAGTGAAATGACTCAGCCTTCCGCGGTGGAGACGGGCAGCAGTGAGGAGCAGCGCGCCACCAAAGAGTCCATTCTCGCTCTCTACGCACTATCTAAACCCACTGGTGCAAGTGGCGGGCTCTTGTCGCCGGGTCTCGCTCATTCAAACGGTCAGCTGTCAAGATAATGAACCACACAATTAGTTTAACTCCATCGATCGTATCGGATACCTGAAATTGTCTTTGTTAAGCTATTAGTAGGAGGTATGGTGAGGCTGTGGTTTATGGATTGTACAACTATTTGTGTTGTATGTAATGGTGCGATGAAATTTGAGTGTTTTAAAGTCCAGATTCAATTTTGTGATTTTTTGATTAATGAGGGTTAGGCACCTCTGTTCATTTCGTTATATCCTGGCGTCTTCGCTCCTTTATAGTTCAGAACGGAATACCCATGGCGTCCATGTTCGGTGTAGCCGCTTCCCCCAATCATGTACCTAACCAGGCGCCTCCCATGTATCAATCTCCTGTATCGTCCATTACTTTCGATCGGTATTCAGTTCAGGCCATAAAGGCACCTGCGTCCTTGGACCTCCATGGTCTGGATGTTTTCCATGATGGCATATCACAATGCACGTCAAAGGTGAGCTATTTTACCTAAACTTGCACGTCCTGGCCTTTGAGAGTTAATATTTGGTGGTCTGAGTAGCACAAACCAAAGTAACCAATATTTGTACCTTTCATTTTTATCCCTGATGAGCTTTATGTTTTCGCTCGTAAAATGTCTGATTTTATGAAGAAAAACCAATTTCTTCGGAAATTTATCCGTTTTTGATGAATATTATTCTTTTCGGCAATTTTCCTTACCCGTTGGTGGTACGGAAAATTATCGGTTAAATTTATGTTTATGCTGGTTTAAAATTGGTAGAACGTTTCTATAGCCTTGAAATATACTTGTGCATGTTCTTAATTGATTCTGAGTTTAACTGTTACTTTTCATGTGCATGATTGACGTTGTCTTCTGTGTG